TGCACAGATCTGGCACACTTGACCCCCACGTCTGTCTCAGGCGTGTGCCTCTCGCATCGCTTTCCACAGAAGCTTCCTGTCTTTCCACATAACTGTGCATGTGTTTTTTTCTGCGCCAATCTGCACAGGATCGCCCGCTGTCGCGTCTGCAGGGCTGTGCCGCTAATTATCCGTGTGTGGTTGTCCTCCTTGGGGACCCCGCTCCCCTTAGCCCCCACCCCCGGCGCGTGTCCATGCTTCCTGGGGTAAGTAAACCTTGCGTGCCCTCCTTTCCGGCCCCCATGAGCGGCAGGGTGTGGGGCACTCTGTAATGTCTCCCTGGAGTGGCCTGCCTGGGGCTGCAGTGTCAGCGGCGCCACCTGGAGGCAGGGTGTATGACGCTGCGCTGAGGAGGTCTTTTTTTAACCCCGCCCCGGCCTGTCACCGTGTGAGTCCCCAACCTCCCCCCAAGGTGAATAAGAAGCGGGTTCCGCCTTTCTGATGCATCCAGAGGAGTACGCATCACACAAGTCCATAACATTCCCCAGGCCAATCCACAGACGGAACGGCGTAGTGCACGTTTGTTGTGTTTGTTGTCAGTGGCGGTTCTGCGTGGCGGCTGGGTCGCACGGTTCTGCGTGGCGGCTGGGTCGCACGGTTCTGCGTGGGGGCTGGGTCGCGCGGTTCTGCGCGGGGGCCGGGTCGCGGCCGGGTCGCGGCCGGGTCGCGCGGTTCTGCGTGCCTCATGGCTACACCCTCGGACCTCACCATGTTTCAGGAGGGCGTCCTCTGCATGCCGGTTCTCTTTGGTTTTTGAGAGGAGCCCCCCCAGTGATGGGGGCCAGTGATGGTCAAACCGCTGTGCTCCATCTGAGATCTGAAAGGGGCCTTTTAGACACCATTAATGCCACGTGGGGGCTGGGGGGTGTGTGGGGGCGTTTGCCCGTCCCCATCCCCAAAATAAAAACTACGCAGGGCTGCTGTCTTGTCCTAAGATCCTGCCCCCTCCCCCACCCCGGCTTCAGTCCCGACAGTTTGACAGGAAAGTTTCAAAAAGGTAAATGCCAGGCTAGCAGAGAGTACAGATGGGGGGGTGCACTTTGGTCCCACATGGGACTGTTTTCCACCGCACTCCCCCGAGGAAGAGAACAAGCAAGGTTGCTGGAGCCGCAGTGCCGCCCCTCCCCCACCCCACCCCCGCAGATCTGCTCTGCTCTTTAAACCAGCCAACACTGTCCCAATTCAGGTATACTCCACAGGATGGACCACATCGCCATGGCGATAACAGCCTCCTTGGTCCAACTCCCCTCCCCGGCGTCGAGCTGTGTCCGTCACTTGTCAACCCCCCCCCTCTATGTTACTTTACTGACGAATGTCACACACACGCCTTTGAGCTTTAAACCAAACACATAATTTATTTAAGCTTGTACTTTTCTGCCCGAGTCTGAAGAATTGAAGGTATAGACCGGCTGATCCACCACCAGAGGGCGCCCCTCGCCTCTGCCTCTTTGCCCGCTGTTGGCAGCCATTGTCCCCAGTCATGTGGTTAGCAGGCAGACAGAGCGTTACTGAGGTTACCTCCTCCTGGCACATGGATATTCATCTGAGATCCCCTGCAATGCAGGGCCTCGAACTGCCAACACAGCCGGCGTGTCGTGGGTTCTTAGGGCGCTGACCCATCACTGTGACCTCCAGGGCAGACACAGGACGGGCAACTCTGAACCAGACTTGTGACCTTCCTTGTTTTATCAGATAATTAAGGTGTTGCCGATTGATCGCCACCCAGTGTTGTCTTTGTGGCATAACTGCTTTACAGAATAGCCCTGTTCATGCCCACTCAATTTACCGTGGCGTAGTGGTTCTAATTCAGTTCCTTAGCCATAGCGCCACCATCTGTCTGCATGCGGGATTGTCCATTCGTGTGCCACATGGCACATTTGTCTGTTTACTGAAGTGGCTGGTGGGGCGGCAGCCGGAGGAGCGACTACACCGTGTGAGAGCCTGAATGCAAACAAGCGAAAATAAACGCTAAGCAGGGTGTCACACGGAGGCGGTGGCCATCTTGATGGCAGTAATTAGTGGCTGCGTGAGTTCTGTGGTTTCAGAAGGTCCAGAAGCTCATCT